GCTTCAATTCAGTCATTGACTCTTGTAATGCAGACGTTGGAGGACCGTATCATTCGTTGAATTCTAGATAGCCTAAAATCATAAGTACATTATTCTATCTTGGCTCACAAATTCGTGGTTTACGTTTAGCAAGTGTAGTCTAATTTTTTATTATCGGTTTAGGGTTTAAAATATTTTATGAGCTAACGAATTTTCCTATTTGTCTCGTTCTATAGAGCGGCGTTTCATCGCATGATGATGGTGATGACCACGATGGTGCTGATGATCAGTAGCATGATGAACCTGGTGTTTGCCTGCACCATGATGTTGTTGCTATTGAAAGAGAGAATGTTCTTGCGGTAGATTCGGTTATCGATGCATCTATGGAGCGAGAGGGGGACCTTCATTCAGTTGAGGTTGAAGGGGACCATTTTCCTAACGCTGATGTAGTAGTCGAGGCAACAGTCGGAGGGGATGAGAACCTTGCATTAGTTGAGGCTAAAGGGGACCATCTTCGTCAGATCACTCCTGAAGGTAACACCTCACGAGTGTCATCACCAGAGGTATCTAATGTTAATCATCGAAAAGCACTAATTTCAGACCTAACTAAATAGGCACAAGTCAAAATGGCTAGCAAGTACATGGCAAGCCTATATGTCGACCCGTCAGTGAGCCGATAGGATGTTAAGAACCCAATGGTGGAAGGATACGAAGCTTTCAAGAAAGAAGAGTGTGTGAGGTAAGCTCATAACTAACATTGCAATATTGTTTTTGAATGAAACATTAATCCACCAAGCCTTTTGAAATTCATTTTGTTACATGTACAAGCGTAACGTCGGGATCTTATGGGATCAAAGGGTTAACTTTTTTAGAATATTAGAGGACCCCAATCAGAAAATGACAAGTGAACAAACAGATGCATGCCTCAATGTGCTTTGTAGGTGGATGACAGGGCCAAAGTCTAGATTGTACAACACCTGTGCATGCGTCGCTCATATGATATTCTTCATAAGTTTATCTGCAATATTTTCAATTCTAAAAATACTAATCTTCTTGACAGCATAAAGTGCAGGCTAATGTATATATGTTTCTCAAGACACTATTCACATGTTGTACATCACCTTCCCAACTGAAGATGGCCGTTCCTCGATGGAAATTTCAGATGAGTTGCGGGGGTATGTGGAGGGTGAGAGGCCGACATATGGTAAAAAATGGGAAGATGTCGATTTCATCCTCGCCTCTTGCAATGTGGGTGGGCATTGGGTGGTTGCGAAGATTGACTTGGTTATGTGGTCGATCAAGGTGGTGGACTCCGCAAAAACTTCGACAGCTAAGGATAACGACGTGCGTGCAGCTCAGATGACACCCTTTATAACAATGATCCCAATCATCTGTCAAAAAGCTAGTTATTTCAACAAAATTTGCTAAAAAACACGAGATTTGACACTGATGCCATTGAAAATTCATTTGCCAAAAGTTAAAGTGCATCATTAGAATGATAGTGTCAACTACGGTATGTTCATCATAGGGTACATTGATGATATTTTGCAATCGGAACCAATCAGAGTTAAATAGAATATGATTGCTAATATGTGTTATCAATATGCTTTGAAAATTTTTACCAATAGTTTAGAGAGGGAACCCTGAACCCCTCCACCATTAACACATCCCCAGTTGTAGTTAGATTTTTTTTATGCATACAATTTATTTTATCCATTTTAATAATATTCATACATTTTAGACATGATTTTTTCTCTATTTAGACACAGTAAGTTGAATGATCAGAAGTTGATGTAATTTAAATCAGGAGGAAATTGTGACAAATAGCCTTAAATCATTAGGTGATTTCAAAAAAAAAGACTGCAACCACGTGGCATGTCACGCCATTGGGCCATGGCTTGTTAACCCATTGGACCATGATGCGTCCCCTTTCAATAACATAACAACTCAGCGAGTGACCCGATAAATATGCTAATACTCAATGTGCCATGCCCTAAATTTGTCACCACTCAGTGTGTCACGCCATATATTTGCCACCACTCAGCGTGTGATCCCATAAATCTGCTAGTACTCAGTGTGTCACGCCATATATCTGTTAGTACTCAGTGTGTCACGCCATATATCTGCTAGTACTTAGTGTCTCACCTGATAAATTTGCTAGAACTCAGCAGTGTCGACACCCTAAATCTGGTACCACTTAGCCTGTTACGCCATATATCTACTAGTACTCAACATGTGACTCGATAAATCTACTAGTACTCAACATGTGACTCGATAAATCTACTAGTACTCAACATGTGACGCCCTAAATTTGATAGTATTAAGCTTGTCATGCCCTAAATCTAGTACCATTTAGTGTGTCACGCCATATATCTATTAGTATTCAGCATCGCACCTGATAAATCTATAAGTACCCAGTGTGTGATGCCCTAAATCTACTAATACTGAGCATGTCATGCCCTAAATCTAGTACCACTCAATGTGTCACGCCATATATCTACTAGACTCAACGTGTGACCTAATAAATCTGCTAGTACTCAGCATGTGATGTTCTAAATCTACTAGTACTGAATGTGTCATGCCCTAAACTAGTACCACTCAGCGTGTCATGACATATATCTATTGGTACTCAGCGTGTGACCCGATAAATCTACTAGTACTCAACGTGTAACGCCCTAAATCTACTAGTACTGAGCATGTCACGCCCTAAATCTGCTACCACTCAGTGTCTCATGCTATATATCTACTAGTACTCAGCGTGTTACACCTTAAATCTAGTACCACTCAACGTGTCGTGCCATATATTTGCTAGTACTCAATGTGAGACCCTGATAAATTTGCTAGTACTCAGCGTGTGATGCCCTAAATCTGCTACTTTTCAACGTGTCATGCCCTAAATCTAGTACCACTCAATGTTTCATGCCATATATCTGCTAGTACTTAGCATGTGACTTGGTAAATCTGCTAGTACTCAGTGTGTCACGTCATAAATCTGCTAGTTCTCAACGTGTAATGCCATCAATATGCTAATACTCAGCGTGTAATGCCATCAATATGCAAATACTCAACGTGTGATGCCCTAAATCTAGTAGTACTCAGCATGTCACCCCATAAATCTGCTAGTACTCAGCATCGCACGCCCTAAATTTGGTACCACTCAATGTGTCACGCCATTATTCAACTTTGACCAAATTTACCTTTTATTAAAATTTACTTAAAATTCCAAGAAAAATAATTTTATTTTAATTCAAATACCATAATCAAATTCTGCTAAATTTAAATTATTCATTTCGAAACCCTAAAAAATTATTAATATGATCATATGGAACCAATATTATCAATTATATTTAACTTTATCAACCATGAATACAGTCTTTAATATATGCAATTTCAACTTACTATTACAAATAGAAGAAGAAAGAAATTGTTTAGTCATTTCATATTATTTTATTTTAACGTAATACAAGTTATTCATCTAAATTTCACTTCAGATATGAAATTGTTACAACTTTTTTTTTACAAAATGAGTATTCAAACTTAATTTTTGTGAAAATGATAAATTAATTTACATATTTTACAATGAAATACTCAAGTAAAAAAATATTTATATATATTTTCAACATCCTAAATCTTTTACACTTAAATATTTAGTTTATTAATAAGCATATAAATAAGAAAAAATTGTGAGAAAAAGGCCTCGACATAAGGTGATTTCATAAATAATCCCTGTCAATAATAATCTACTCAAACAATATAGGGACTTTGTAAGTCTATTCACTACTAAAAAAACGGATAAAATGAAATGAATAATCAAATAATATATTAAACCCTTAATACAAAAAAAAAAAGACTCATCTACAAGAGGAAACTAACAAACACAAAATATGAATGTAAGAAACTGTAAGAGGAAATTGTGAGAAAGGTATTGTACATGGCTCAAAGTTATTTATTTACATCGACAAGTTGTCATCCTCCACAAGACACCTTACGTTTTTAGACATTGTCCTTCGTATTGGACAATTATTACATGTGTGACTGATTTGTCTGTAACTTGAACATGCTTTTGGTCGTCACATTTGTGGAGGTGCGGATTGAGTTAGAAATGGTGCTGGATTTGTGGATGGAACTGCAACTAGGAATGGGCAATTCTATCTATTATGCTCGTACCTCTTGCATTGCGAACATCTTCATGATCGACTGCCTTCACCAGCTGATGGAATCCTTTTCTTCCTAGGTTTTCTTGCTTGGCCTCACCAAGGTGGTGGCTACATGACAATTAGTTTCACATGAGGGGAGATGTCCTACTCACAAGGATGCCTTACCGGCCTAATGGACCTCGCATAAGCCTCCACCAAAATCGGTTGTCTTGTAGTAGTCAGCGCAGAATTCAATGGCTTCACGTTTGCATTTACAGAAAAATACAATGAATTCAATATTCAAGCATAATGTAAATGGTATGTCAATTATGGTTCAAATAAGAAAAAAAGAGCAAAAAGATATTCTGACCTTATTGTTGCAATGGCATGGCTACATGGGAGTAAATCTGTTTGGAACTCACAACATGAACACTTCTTTTTTGATAGGTTTATGAGTTCGTCCATCTTCCCGTCTTTAACTTCGAACTCCACTCGATTGATAGGTTTAACTATAAAGTAATGTTCATCATTAAACCAACGCTGGAACATGTCTCTGATGAATTCAATCAAAATAGTGATTGACATTTGTCTTGCATGCTTCAAGCATGAGTTAACGCATTCCACGATGTTAGATGTCATGAGTTGGTATCGCCTAGCTGGTGAACATGCATGTGCCCATCTCTAAGAGCCTATTCCCATAAGGTTAGCATACACTCCCGTGTGAATATGCTTGAGATAGTTCATATGTCTGTTGAAATTTGATACCTTATAGTAATCTCGAGCAAGGGTGAAAATCATAGAAAGGTCGTCGCGCTTGAACTTGTTTTTAAAGTTTTTCTTCAAGTGGTAACCGCATAAACTATGGTGCACTTCTGGGTATGCCTTTTAGATTGCTATCTTAATGCCAAGATGCTGATTAGAAATGAACATAGTATTTTCAGGACAACCAACTGCATCATGTAACTTGCTAAGAAACCACGTCCACGAGTCTTCGTCCTCAACATGGCTAATGCCAAACGCAACTGGATATACGCACTCGTTTTCATCTTTGCATACAGTGACAAACAGAACACCCTTGAATCTGCCTTTCAAATGTGTCGCATCAATTGTAACCATACGACGCATTACATCCCTAAACCCTCGAATACAAGCCCTATATGACCAGAAACAATATTTGAATATTTTACCTTATCAATAGCCACTACAGTGACCATGCCGAGATTTTCTTATTCCAACATATAAAAAATAAGGGTAAAAGTTGAAATGACTTTTTCGGGAGACCAAAAGCAAGCCTTTTCGCATACTCCTTCGCTTACCAGGCCTTACCATATAAGCATTCCAATTCCCATTGAACCTTCATCTCACCAATTATGTCTTTAGGTCTCAATGCTATTCCATTAGCTTGAAGCTTGTGTGACATAAGTTCACCAATTATCATTGCACTCGCCGTTGAAAATCGCCCTTGTAAACTATCGACAGTACACATGTGCAATTTGTGGAACGTCTGAACTTGCCAATATTCTCCTTCAAGTAACTTCATTGCACGCACACCGAACTTGCATGCCTTGTCCTTGTAACCAACCTCATAACGACCTTTACATGACCTTTTTACTCTTATCCCAAAATGGTATTTTAGAGTGAACATGTTCAAAGCTCGTTTTAACTCAACCTTCGAGGGAAACATTTTTCTTTTGTATAAGCGATCATCAGCACATCTTGATCGAAATTGTGTGGCCAACTATACTATGGATTTCATCTGTCTACCAGGCTACACAAACTCTTGTGCATATGTCAATTGCCATTGTTGTGGGTTATGGATCGAATGCTGTGGTATGTATGAAACATTGTAAATCTTATTTTGATTGACCTGATTACCATGTTGTTCAGCGTCTTTATGTTACATAACATTTGGTAGGCATCCCTTAATGCTGACATGCACAACCAGAACATTCCTCTATTTTAGCATAATTAATGCAATATCCTCATCATCCTTGATAATTACGCGTGATAGCTCTCTGGGTGTACTGATCAATGCATGTAACTCAATCTCCCCCATTTCTGAGTTTACCCCAACAACTTCTTTAACCAACTTTATCAAGCCCTCAAACGACAAGTCACTTTTAACCCCCTACATTCGTGACTCACCACCCTTATAAATGCCATCCACCCATTGACCACCATGTCTTCTCACAAGTCGCACAATTAAAACCCTACTGTAATTTTGAAAACATAAAATTTGTCAATCATTTTACACATTACATGCCGTGTTCTAAAATTTGTCTGTCATGTTGTTACACACCATTTTTCAAATATGTTACATGCCATGTTTACAAAATGATACACGCCATGTTCAAAAATGTTACACGCAAGTTGAAAAATTGTTACACGCCATGTTAAAAGATGTTACACGCAAGTTCAAAAATTGTTACACACCATGTTCACAACATGTTACACGCCATGCGCACATGTTACACGGCATGCGCTAACACATGTTATTTCAGTATATTTTTACACCCCCTTTGCTTTATAGATGTATAGCGTGTAACAACTTTGGGCAATGTTTCTAATCCACGTTCTAATTTACACCAAAATTTTCAAAATCTATTTGTTGCAGCAATAAACCCAATAACATACCTTGATGTCATTTCTGCTATAAGGTCTATTTATCAATGGCAATATGGCCAGATGCCGAGAGATTAACTACAGCACGATCAAGATGGTGCTCAATAGAGAGTTGACAGAGCTCATACAGTTCAAAGAGTTAAGCCAGCTGATGACGATGGTGCTTAACAGAGAGTTAACAGAGTTGACATAGTTCAAAGAGTTGAGAGAGGGAAATGAGCGACCTCAAATAGCTAAGCATTTATTTCTATTTTCTTTCTGGCAAGAAGAAGATATCGAGAGCTTAATTTGCAACGATGTTTTTAAAGGCATTTTGGTCTATTCATGCTTCTTAGTGGCTAGACACAGATAACTTTATATGGGTGGTTATTTCTGAAATCACCTTGTGCCGAGGCACTTTTCTCACAATTTCCTCTGTTTGTAACTTAAAAGCTATTATTAAGCTCTTATGAAAAGTAATAACTTTTAGAATTAAGCTAAAGTTGTTTGGTAAATTATTTAATAAAATAAATTATACAAACTCTAATTTCAGTTAAAATTAACATAGAGGATATTTATGCCATCTTCAATCACTTAGTAAGCTATAATATAACGCTTCCAGTTTATGTATAATTTCAAATGTTAAAATCAAAGAAATCAATAAAGAAACGGAATAATTCTCAAACTTGTATTGTAGCAATAGTATTAAATTTTTGTTGATCTATCAAGCAATCAGACTATGGTGCTTCAATCCCCCCCTAAAAAAAAGAGAAAAGAGGAAACGATATATTGAACATCAAAATCCTTTTTGGTGAAAAAGAGAGAAAACCTTTAAATAGTATCTGAATGCAGTTTTGAATTTTAGATTTTTTTTCTTAATCTTTGTAAAAATAAAAGAATTCTAGATTTTGATATCTTATTGTTGGGTTTTCTATTTTTTTAATGCAATTTTGAATTTTAGTTTTTTTTTCTTTTAATCTGTGTAAGAACAAATAAAATCTAGAATTTGATATTTTGTTGTTGGATTTTCTATTTTTTTAATAGTTTTTATAGAGAGAGGTAAAGGAGAAGGAAATCACGATTTACGTTGAAGAATGTTAATTTACAGAGGGAAGGAGAGGAAAAGAGAGACTGATTGTGAAAGAGGTATTTTCTTAAAAACTAATATGTTTTGAAAAGAAGAGAAGAGAAAGCTCCTCCCTAGAGATTTCTTTTAAGCTATTTTTTAAAAAATTTTGTTCCTTAAAAAAATACTACTTTTTTTTTTTAACAGCTTATCAAAAAATCATGTTTGGCTTGGCTTTTACTTTTAAAAGGTAGATAAGTTGAAAAAAAGCCAAGTTAAAAAGGTACTTAGTAATATTTGGTTTTTTGATAAGAGCTTTTGTGTACAGAAGAGTACCTTGGAGCATTTAGTTAGCTTTAGCTCCTTTTCTCCTTCTTTTTTAACTTTTGGTTCATTGTTTAGAAAGTGCCATGTCTCCACATCTCTTATACCTGTTCAATTAGTTCAAACATTATAGACTTTAAAGTTAATGATTCTAGGTTTTAGGATTAATTGTAGAACCATTTATGATGAAATTAGATCTAGTTTATATTTAATTCTTGCATTAAGTTTCTTGAACTGTCCCACTAGTTCATGTCAATGTTTCTTTTATTTTTTTTCCCTTACAATTGCCTTTATACTGCTCAACTAGGTAATTCAAAGACATGCTTTGATGAAATTGGTAGCTGGATTATAGTTTTGTCCTTCAATTTTCATTTATAAAATTTAATCTTGTTAGGCTGTTAATTCCCAAAGAATCCTAACTATTATATGCAATAATATAAATTATGTTATTATAAAATTTGTTAATACCCCATTTTCTTTCTATGTTAGATGGCACCTTTGTTACCCTTGCAACTGAGTTTATTTTTTTTATGCATAATATATATATATTTTGGTTTAGTAATATCATTTTGTATACTAACACTTATTGAATTAATTTCATCTGTTGCTTCCATGTTTTAACTACAATTACCAGATTGTAAGAAGTTGCTTGATACCGAGTTTGAAAAGGTCAAGGCTAGTTCATCTTCAAGTCCACATAATCATCCACTAATACATCAATTCTAGTAAGCCATCTGGGTATGTATTTTAAACACATCAAGGTAGTTTTTGAAATTATTAAGATGGAATAAGTTAATGATTATCTTTTATCCATATGTTGTTTTTGTTTCTTCTTATACTGTTAATCTTATTTTGTATTTAGGGTCAAGGTTCGTCTTGGTCTTTGAGTCTAAAACATTTAATTGTTTTATATATATGCATGTAGACAAAAGTATACATGTTTGTTTCTATAGATATGCAAAATAGCTACTATTTAGGGGTTGAATATGAATAGTTTTCAATTTGAATATTCTATTTTGGGCTTTTTGCTACTATTTTAATGGTAGTTATTTTTTATAGTGCTGTTATATATTTCTATCTTGCGTTATTTAGAATTATCATAAATAGACTTACTTTTCAATAGTCTTTTTTTTTCAGTGAATTTGGATAGTTCTGTAAAGATGATAGATAAGAGTTGGATGTGTTGTTCTAGATTGAGTAAAGGATACATAGATGGAGTTAGGCAATTTCTTGATTTTGCATTTACAAATGGGTCAAAGGGAGGATTGATTTTATGCCCTTGTAAGACTTCTAACAATTGTTTGTGGAAAGATCAGGATGAAGTTTATAATCATCTTATTTGCAAAAGAATCGATCAAGGTTACATCTATTGGATTTATCATAGGGAAAGGTCATCGCCTTCTGTGAGTGTTGATGATGTAGGTATGGGAGATGAGTCAAACATGCATGATGACGTGGAGTAATTAGTGCAAGATGTTATGAGGCAAGAAGGTTATGATGATCATCTGGGTTATTTTGAGGACAATGAAGAAGAAGGTGGCAAAAGCCCAAATTTAGATGCTAAGAAATTTTTTGAATTGATGAAGGATTGTCTAGAGGATGTATACCCAGGGTGCAAAAAATCTAATAAGCTGTCTTTTCTTGTTAGATTTCTTAATATCAAAGGAATGATTAGATGTAGCAATGCTACAATTACCATGTTTTTGGAGTTGCTTAAGTCAATATTACCGGAAGGTGAAACACTACATAAATCCTACAGTGAAGCAATAAGGATTATGAAAGGTTTAAACCTTGATTATGAGAAAATTGATGCATGTTGTAATGATTGTATGCTAGTTTGGGGAAATTATGTTGAAGCAACATCTTGTCATATATGTGGAACTTCGAGATGGGAAAGATATTAGGAAGATTAAGATGCAAGTACTTCTACAAAACTTCAAAAAATCCTTAAAAAGGTTCTTAGGTGCTTTCCTTTGAAACCAAGACTCTAAAAGTTGTTTTCATTCTCCAATACTGCTGAGGCAATAAGGTGGCATGAAGAAAGTTGCACTAAAGATAGAAAATTAAGGCATCCAGTTGATTCTCAAGCTTGGAAAGACTTTGATTCTTTATTCCTTGATTTTGCAGTAGATCCTCGTAATGTAAGGCTTGGCTTAACAACTGATGGCTTTAACCTATTTCGAACCATGAGTTTGTCATTTAGCGTATGGCTTGTCATACTAATTCCATACAACCTACCTCCGTGGATGTGCATGAAGTCTTTATACTTCTTGTTATCTCTTTTTATTCTTGGTCTTTTATCACCTTCAAATAAAATTGATGTTTATCTACAACCTTTAATAAAAGAATTAAAAGAGTTATGAAAGTTTAGAGCTACTACTTTTGATGCATCAAGCTAACAAAACTTCCAAATGCGTGTAGCTTTATTGTAGACTATTAGTGTTTTTCCAAGTTATGCAATGTTGTTTGGATGGAGTACTAAAGGATACCTAGCTTGTCTTACTTGCAACTATAAAACTTCTTTCATATTCTTGAACCATAGTAAGAAAAATGTTTACATGGGGCATAGAAGATTTTTGGATTTAAATCATAAATGGAGGTATGATAAGAAATCTTTTGATGGAACTATAAAGTTGGGCTCTTCACCAATGTTACTTTCTGGGTTTGATGAGTTAAAAGTATTGAAAGATTTT